CAGTGACCATGATGGATTTTTCACACATTTTTTTACTGTACGTCTGCATGACTTATCAAAAAAAAAATGCATGGTAGCATCAAATTTCTGGGACATTTTGCCTGCTTATTTCTTTTTTTATTTTTAAGACAAAATCAAAATGTTCATCCGACGATGATAAAGCTACAGTACGTTACATACCAGCAACAGTTTCAACAGCAGATGCAGCAGTTTCAACGGATTCCGCAATGTGTGAGAGACAACCAGCGAAGGGTGTGGATGTGGGCGTCAATACAATCCTTGAAATGGGAGTTGCCGAAGGCAGTTCCAGTTCGAATACAACATCTGATAACAGTGCTGGGCAGTTACCAAAGCGGCTTTTTGATACGGTTTTACTAAGGTAAGCATCGCAGTGGAAGTCAGAATGTTGCTTATTTCAAAAGACAGAACCTTCTCCGTGCTCACTCTTCATAGGTTTTGAAGGCAATCGGATGAGGCGCAAATGGTAGCACTTGTGGAAAACCACGGGCAAAGCCGGCCAAAGAGACGCCATGAAGAAAAAGAAACATTTACCTTGCCTTGAAAAACAGATGCACAGTAGAAGTGCTGCCAGGCTGAACATGGAGAACAGGGGTTGGTGGTGTAGTGGTAACACATCGCATCCGGGCTTGAAGGGAAGTGGTTCGATCCCATCCCGGTCCAGAAGGATTTTTGAAAATGCTTCCTTCACGACAGCACTTGCCAACAACAATCAGCAACAATTAACTATTTGCCAACAAGATTTTCAACAGCTTTTCTCTCAAGATTTATTTATAAGCAGGCTAGTGGAAGTTTGCTTTTTCAGAATGTGCCAGTACCAGTTTACCATTTAAATGAATGGACGAATTATAGAGAGGGGCTTCACCGGCGTGGATCCTCACCCTTCAGCAGGAAGAATAGCTCCACTTTCCATTGTAGTGTGTCTGTTTTTAGTCTACTGCCTCTTTTTGTAAATGAAATTCCGTAATTTTCCGTGGTGTAAGGGATTTTCGGTTGGGGACGAATTCTGAGCTGTATTTTATTTCGACTGATCAACATGTCCGCGTTACAGCGACAATTTTCGTTTGTGATTCGGAAACATCTCGGATTTTTTTTTAAATGAATTATGCTTGTATGTAATTTATTGGAAGCTCTGAAACAAAAGCCTTTTTAAAAGTGAAGGTTGCAGTTAACTGTAATTTCTTTAATGTGCATTTTTTCTAGGCCATCACTGACGATTGTGTCCCTACGACCTGATGGGAGTATCGTCCCGGGCAGTATGTCAGCATCGCGACGATTGCCCAGCGTACATGAATGGTCACCAAAATCTGAGGAAGAAGTTGCTGAACGTTCAGTTATCTCTTCGAACGACAACGATGTAAATCCTGTAGTCCCTAATAATACCGAAGATAATGAAGAGGAGAGATTAGGTGAGCAAATTTTTTTTTAAACTGATTCTGAGAATTCTGTAGATTTGTTATCTCAAATGCTCTCAGTCCAGTTTTCTTAAAGCAAAAAAATTTTTATGATGCTATGAGAACCCGTATTTCTTCGTCGCCCAGTCTGTTGCTGCAAGATTCTAAAAGATTTATATTCCAGGCGCAAAAAGCTCTTACGTGTAGGATGTTTCGCATTTTTTTTTCTTGGTTTTTTTAACGATTCAAATTTCTAACTTATTCCTTTTTACATTATTTTTCATCTTTAGAAAGCATCTCGGCAGCAACGTCACGACCTGATCGTTCGGAAGATGATTCAAATACACTGGCCAATATTTCACCAATTCCACACGCATAATACGCTAAAGATTCTCGGATTGCTTGATGATCTCAATGTAAAGTGCTGATTGAATTCTATGTAAACTAAATTCTGTAATCTGCATTTTTCGTTTGCTTTTGTGCTACTAGCCTGTCTACATCTCCTAAAAAATCTCGATATTCCTCTTTTTTCCTCATTTCTTTCATCTTTTCTGCGCTTTTGCTATTATTATTATTTATTATTGTTATTTTTATCGTTGTTATTACTATTACTATTGCTATTATTATTATTATTATTATCGTTATTATTATTGTTATTATTATTATTATTATTATTATTATTATTATTATTATTATTATTATTATT